GACTGAGTGGAGTCCTTAGGATGAGAGGGATTTGGGGAACTTTCAGAATCTGGCCGGGAAATGGAGTTGTTCAGGTTGCTTCTCACCCTGGCATTGGGAGCACAGTGGGATCAGCAGCGCCTGGACTGGCTGCCGCGGCGCCGCATCCGTGAGATACTCCCTGTCCTTCATTCTGCACGGGTTCTTGCGGGGCTAAAACGAAGTACAATAAAATAATAGGTGTTTTTCTCTGCAGAGATGTGCTGGCCTTGCTTTGGAGGCCGCGGTCGCTGCTTTTTAATTGTGCCGGAGGGTTGATGAAGGGCAGCGAGGGCGGAGGACGCTGCTGCTCGCAGGGGTGCGCGGCGCGCGCCGCTCCCGGGTGCACCGGGGATAAAGCTGAAGCCTCTCCTACTATTACTCCTCTGAATGTAAATATCTCGGAGACATTTACATGGTATTTCTTTTTAAGTATATAATGTTTTCATTCAAAAGTATCATAATTCTTAAAAGACCTGTCAGAGGCTCTGACATGTAATTAATTTCTCTAAAGCTCTTTTTTTTTTGAAAGATAGAACTGCATCTATGGGACTCACTCTAACACCTGCGCTTATTCACAACTCTGCAGAAAAAAAAGGCACATCTTCTGCTCCGTTTTCTTCCCCCTCTTCTCCAGAAAAAGATTTTCCTTCGCTTTGGATACTCCCTCTCCCCTCATCATATCTAACAAATAAAACCCCTTGGTATGAAGAAGATGGGTGAACACCGGAGCTGCCACACTGGCTTTTGTCTGGGTGCTGGTGGCCTTTTGGATGTTCAGCTTTAATCTGAARCACCATCGCAGCCTTAATTACTGCACAGCAATCACTAACCCATAATCTAGTCCATCGCATGTTATTTCTCTGTGTGTAGGTGGCTTTTCAGGCTGTCTGGTAGGCTGTTAATTTTACCTGGTGCATTTTTTTCTCTGCTTGGGAATGTATTAAGCTGCAGCAGTAAAATGCCGGGGCTCAGGAAACCTGAACAAGGAGATGTTCAGCTAGCCATGGGTTTGTAGGTAAGCAGCCAAGGACTGGGTTTTCTGGCAGTCTTGGCTCCACTGCTCTCTTTCTGTGACTCCTGTCTTAGCCAGTGTTGTCTTCATTTCTCGCAGCTGTGATCTTAGCAGACCCTTAAGCCCATGGTGCAATCAAGAGACATCTTCCCTATGAGTGAACCTCATGGAGCTCTCTTCAAGCTTCTGCTCTGCTCCTGCTCCAGAGAATCGGAAAATCAAGTGCATTTCACCTAACTCTATGTTTTGGACCATCTGCTTTGGCCTTTGGCATCTTCCTCAGTCCACTCCACCTCCCATCAGGTTCATAAAATTCAAGCTGGTGTTGGAATTTCCTCCTGACGCTTCTTCACAGCAGCTTGACCTCAGCCAGAGGTATCTTCAGTGGCCTGGCACGGTGTGAAACCCAGAGCCTCTCCCTTCCACATTCCTGCCTGCAGTTGGCTTTGTGACCGTTGCACACTTGCTGCCCTGCGTACAGTCGCTGCYGACAGTCTTTACACCCCACGCCATGAGTTCCTCTCCACTTTCATTGCATTTTCTGCTTCAGGGAGCCAGCTGCTCTTCTCCTCTTGCTGCCATCCCCTGTTCCTCCTTGTGCTCCATTGCACTGAGCCCCATTTGTCAGCTTTTCTCCCACAATAGCTCATGTTTCCTCCGTTCCTGGTTGGATCTGACCCCTCATGGTCATGTTGTTCCTGRAGATTTTCTCATGCCACAGGTTCCTGCAAACTCTTGATTGCCACTTTCATCTCCCTTCCCCTCCCTTCAGCCACATCCAAGGAGTCCCCACTGATCCCTCGTTCTTTCCAGCTCATTTCTAGAGCTCCCATTTCTCCTCCCTCAGTCCATGCTCTTTAGGTAAATAGTCATGCACTGCTGCATCCCCTTCACTCCTGTGTTTGGTCGTCTTTCCCCATCTTTGGATTGCGCCCACCAAAACGCGTCTCTCTGCAGTGCTTGCTCAGAAATGCCTTGTCCGCGTTATGACTTTCTCTCTGGAGCTGCTCTGTGCCCTGCGAGTGACAACCTTACATTATTGGAGAATTACAGTTTCCACTTTTGTTCTATGTTTTATTCATTGTAAGCCATCGTTTTAATGGAGCTGCAGTTATGTTACCGGTTGCAACCAGGCCACCTGTGGCATTTCCCACCAAGCTGGGTTGATCCCGGCAAAACAGCAGCCGGCACCGAGACGGTGCTTGTCCTCCTGCATCATGCAAGAAGATGCAGCCTGGCTCTCAGCTCCTTTTGCTAATAAAGCTACRACGTGCCTGCTGCAGAACCGAGCTCTCTGCAGCAGCCCTGGATCATCTCTAACGCCCTAAGCTGCTTCCTATGGGTTAAGCGTTACATGGAACACTGCGAAAAAGCTAAGTACTATCCTGATTTGGCTTATATACTTGGATAACTTGAAATATTGCTATGATTCTCCCTATGAATATAAATATTACTATTAAATATTTATATGATGGTCATACTCCAAGGCTTCTCCAGGATTGAGGCAATATTTCTGCTGGAGCTGCAAAATGAGAAAGCGTTGCGTGTCCTTTGGGGAAAAGCAGGTTCAGGGCAAACAAAAACAGGTTCCTTCTTACACAGCACATAAGCAGGCAGAAGCCAACAACAAGGTGTTGTGGAAGGAGGGGTGCAAACGGGGTAGAAAGTAGGTAGAAAGCAAATGAATGAAGTATGGAAGCTCTTAATATAGAGGGTTGCAAGCTGAGGTGGTGGAGCAGGGCTTTCGCTTTGCATCTACCYGTGACTGTCGTCAAGAGCTGAGCCTATGGGTTGGTCTTGTCCTGTTAGGCTGTTCTTGTGTGATAGCTACGTGCTTTGAGCCTGAGGGACAGCGTGGCAGGAGCAGCAGCTGCACAGCTGGTTTCTGCTCCACATCAGGTCCTGCTCCTTCAGGGAATGGAGCTGGTGCCCCTGCTTGATCCTGCCCGGGTGAGCCGTTATTGGAGCATCACCTCTGCACTCCAGAAAGATGGTGGGGATTGGAGTGAACAGGAATGTTGATTATAACCTTCTGTGCTTGGAAGATGTCACCTGACAGGTGGATTATCCACAAATGCTCTTTGGAGCRCTTTTGGAAGCGAGCATGTGAGCAGAGAGTTCAACCCCGTAAATGTRCACAGCCAAATATCCTCTCCTCCAGCTCTACCTGCCTGCAGTTAATTGAAACGAAAGGTCTTGGCATGTCCATCTTCCACCTGGAAAACCACAAAGATGTACAAAGCACATTTATCAAATCACAATATATTTGAGCTCCTTAATTAATTCAGCATTTCTTCCTCATGCAGCCCACTCCCAAGAAGCCATGCTCGCTCCTTTAGTCCTTTAGCCTCTGATTCTCCTGAACATATGTTTATAGGCAGGAGATATTATTAAGGAGGCATGACGTTGCAGACTGTTCCTGGAAAAAGCAGAGCAGCTTTCACACTTAAAAGCTGATCTTCCGCAAGTCGCATGTAAATACCCAGGAAAAATGCAAGATCTGTGATTTGGAGGTTCGCTAGATACRTGCGGAGCTGCTTCTGCTAAAACATGTCAGCAATTCTGCTGCTGTTTGTGTTGGCTCCAGAAGGAAAGCTCTCGTCAACCACAGTGGGAGACCGGCGTGTTGCGAAGAGTGTGGATGTTGGTGAGAGCGAGGAGTCCGACTTGGACGCGCCAATCCGCGTTCTGAGAGCTCGGCAACACGGATTTGCATCCGAGTGAAACTCTCGGGGTTAGTTAAATATTCCTCTTAAATATGCAAAGGAACTGAGTTAGTGATGCTTGTTATTCTTATCCTACTCYTGGTGTCACACCATCTTGAAGTTCAGTGAAGGCTTCACTTACTAAGGCGATTGTAAAGATTTCACATTAATTAAGAGGACTCCACTGAAAATTTAAATATGAATGAAGCTCCTCTTCTGAACCCAGGGCAATGAAGGCTGAGGGAAGAGCAAGCATTGACAAATGTTGATTTAGAGGGGGAAAAAACACCCTAAACCAAAACCTGTGCTTCAGCCTGGTACCTGCTCCATGAGAGAAAGAGTCGAGTTTGAGTTGCCAGAAGGGAAGAACAGATTCTGTGTTTAATTTACAGCTGAAGAAGTGAAATTGTGATGCTCAGGCCACCTGGAGGGGTATCTCGTGAGGCAACGTTGGGGCTGACTTCTGCTGTGGGGGAATGGACATGTCTCGCRTGGCAGGGTCTTGCGCTCCTTGGACTGCCAGGCGATTTCATGCAAGGGTTGGATGGATTTCTCCGTCTTTAATGGAGAAAGGGAGAAAATACAGGCCTGCTTCTGATCTCTGTTTTGTTGAAGAAACACCAGCAAGTTCAGGGGCATCAGTYTCGGCTGGTGCTCATGCAGCTGAGATAAAATTTCAATTAATGGGAACCGGTGAAGGCAGCAGTAGGTGGCRTGTGGATGAGGCCAAATTCCAGAGGATGGAGGAGGATGAAGTGTCTAAAATGAAAAATGAGGTTATAGACACCTAGAAGTCTCAGGGCAAGTCCTTCTCCTCCCTATTTTCCCTGGGCGAGTGCCCTCCTCTGTGTGCATCTGTGCTCACCCCTCTGCTGAACGGAGACAATGATGCCCACCCGBGTTTGCAAAGCAATTTCAGATGATGTGAAAGGCATTGCTGGGGTGAAGAGCACTGCTCAAAGGTCTAAAGAAGGCCTTTGGGGAAGAAAATGGTGATGTGCATCATTTTAACCCTGCTGAAATACCCTGGGCTTAGCTTTTGGAGCAGGTAACCGAAGCGATGGTAGCCTTAATAAATAGTATTTGTCCTCGCAAGCAGGTAAGGGGCAGCGTGCAATGTGGTGCATATGTGTGTGCCTTTTTATTTATTTTTATTGTAGTTATTTTTTATTCACGCTTCCTTGAGCTGATTTGGGGAATTGTACTGACTGTGGTTATGTTTCTGGAAATGCACAGGTTGGCCAGATGCAGTGGGGCATGGAATGAACAGAAAGAGGTTAAATTGATGGATGACCAACAAGAGCAGGATTGTGCCTCAGAAGACCAAGAAACTATCCTGATTAATGGGGTGAAAGAAAATGGTAAGGAACCTAATTACACTACATGAGGGAGCAGCAACTACTTGCAAGCCAACTTATTTTCCTCCTTCCTTTCGTGTATTTAATTTTAGTGGTTTGCAGGTATCTCTAAAATGTAGAGCAGTAGAGTAAATGGGTGTTTTCTACCAAGATGTCACTCCAGCTATGAATCTACAGCTTTTTAAGTCTAACAAGTACCGCTTTTGTCCATGCATATGCATGGTTGGAAATGTTTGTGTGCACATGCAGTTTGAATTATGGATTTTGCTTAGTTTCTCAGGGAGACAACTCATATGAGATCACATTGCCCCTCTGTCTGTTGGGATCCTTTTCGTCACCTCACGATTCCTTATGCAGCTGCTAGCTGATCCCAGCCAAACTTCAGTGAAAGACACTCAGCCCCTACAAATCTGGGGAAATCAGAGATCGGGTAGAAGAAACAGACGCCACTTTCCACCCCCAGGAAGGGAGGGTCTGACCTGTGAGCTGATGATCTCTGTGCCACGTTGATCCTCGGAGACAGATGCGCAGGGAACACAGGATTCATTAGCTCTGCTGCTTTCAGGACCTTGCGGAAGCTGCACGTGCTGTTGTGATCGTTCCAGCAGCGCAGACCTTTTCAGTTTGGCAGCTGAAGATCCCATTAGGATTCTGGACACCTCTTTGGTGTATAAACACACGCTGCTAGTCGCAGTCATGATCCTCTGAACTACTAAGTCATTTCAGCTTTCATTGACATCGGTGGAGAATGATCTGCCTCTTCGAGGAGCCTGCCTGAAGTAGCTAACTTATTCTTATTCAATCTAATCTATTCCATACTTGCTTTCAAAAGCAATAACTAATTAGGAATAATAGCGCCCTTCTCGCCCGAAAACCTGATTGAAATAAAAATTCCTTGGAACGTGTTCTTGAGGCACTCGGCCTTGCTGTTGTGAGCTGCGTTAAGCATCAGCTTTCTGGTGCTGAGGCAGAGCTTCACTTTTTTGTTCTTCACAGTGTTTCTGCAAAGCTGTTTCGTTAATTTTCTGGKTTTTTTTAAGACTTTGTATTACCCCAAAAGCTTGCAATGTATAAAAATATCTAAATAAATATTTGTGTAGGTGTATCAGGTTGACCCTGTTCTTCTTTCGGAAGGTAGCAGTGCCTGGCAGGCAGCTCTTATGCCATTGCTGAATTTTGGCTGATGCTTTTTGCACCCGTGCACCTGTACTGTCAGCTGAACTTGGCTGCATTGGTCAGTTTAGAGCAGCCCTTAGCTGCTCTCTGCACAGCTGGGGTTGCAGCGTGCCATTCCTAGCAGCACGGTCAGTGTTTTCCCTCTACAACTCCCCATATGCTGCCGGGCTGTAGCTGGGGTAAAACTGAAAAGGCCTTTTTGGGTCTCTATTCTGATTTAATTTTTAACTGTGGTTGTTCTGGAGTATCAGCTACTTTAGGGCTTTCATGCAACACGCTCTTGATTTTAGGACAGTGCAATAAGAAGTCAGGTTTGGGCATTTGCTCTTCACAGGAGATACTTTCACTCATATGGATACCAACCTTAAAAAAAAATAGTTTAATTTATAGAATAATATCTCTGGGTATTGAATGCTGCRGTTGAGATTGAAATTCCACATTCTGATCAGTTTGGAATAAAAGCAGTTGTCACAGATGATCCCCATAACCCCCCARGTGCCACATATTTCTGTCTGCCCCCTGCTTATGAGGCAGCTGCGTTTTAAAGTGGTCATCCCTTCTCCAAAAATGCCTCTTATATCTGGTGGACTTGCAGGATGCTCATGGTGTTGCTTGTGGCTGCTCTTTTCTGTATTTCCTACATCCACATCAGGCGCTTCCACCCCTCTGTTAGCACTGAGTGGAACCGTAGTGCTCTGCCAGCCCTGCTGATTTCAATGAAATTACCCAAAAGGTTAGATGTGTGCCGGTATAAAAGCATCAGGAATCAGCTCTAGGTCGGCAGAGGTCTTTGGATATTACAAATGCATGCATTTGTGTATTTTTTTTTAGTACAGAGATATCAGAGCGTGTTCATGGATGAAAAGACATTGTATTTAAATTTCAAGGGTCATATCATCTGTTGAGCCAGAAGTCAGATAAAAGTATATTCATAATTTTGCTCTGCCATAAAATAGTGCCATGAGGTTAAAAAATAAAATGGAAGAAAAAAAATTGTTAGATAAAAGAAATCTTCATGTTAAAAAGGCATTCTGCAGATTAGGAAAAATTGAAAGAATTGCAAAATAATAACAATTACACAACAAAATGTTTTAAACTCTCTGTGCCACCCTCTACATTTCTCTCAGTTTGGACAGTACCAAAATAACTGCTTATATTAAAATTACAGCTAACTTGGTGCCCGAGCAGTGATGAAGTCCGGGTATGCTTAGGCTGCACAGACTGCAGAAGGATGTTTTGTTTCTTTAAGAATCTTACTTTTCTGTTAATTTTTTAAACGTTAATGGGAACATTTTTATTAGGCTTGTTTTGTGTTTTAATAACCTTGTCAGATTTGAACGGCAGTATCCAGGTAACGGTATGTATATGAGAGAGAAAGAGCGGGTGGTTTGGGTTTTTTTAACCGTAATCTTGTACCTACTCCAGCTGGCTGGGGGGGGCGGGTAGAGTGTTTACCTCTCTGGGCTTTGTGCATCCTGAGATTAATTAGATACGCAAATGAGCGATCGCAAATGAGTGGGGAAGGGCCTGCTTGCTTCCCGAGCAAGCGATGGGAAGAGTCACCCGCTGGCTGTGGAAAAGGGCAGAGGGGAGAACTGGTGCGCCAGGSTGGTAGCTCTGCCTTCCTTCTCTCTCTGATCCTTCCTCCCTTTCCTTGAATCCCCGCAGAGCCACACGAGGCGGCCGCCGACGAGAGGCCTTGCGCCGCCGCCACGTTCCCGGCCTTGACGCCGGCTCCCAAGGAAAACCAGGCGCCGCAGCGCGCGCCGCCGTGCAAGAAGCCGTGCGCGCTGAGCCCGCCCTCGCCGCTGCGCCTCACCGATGCGCCCGAGCACGCGTCGGACGACTCCTCGGCGCACGCCATCTCCCTCACGTCGTGCGTGACCAAGGGCATGAGCTCGTGGTCGCTGCCGGGCGACTGCGAGAAGGCTCCCTTCACCATCATGGAGCCCGGCGGCATGTCGGCGCTCACCGGCGACTGCCTGATGCAGCCGAGCCGGACCTGCCTGGGCTGCTTTATTGAATCGAAGGACGGCATTGATGCGGAGCCGGGAATAAGCCTGAAAGTGGGTGATATAAATAGGGATTATGACACCTGTTCGGTCTCTGATATAGGGATTCACTGCATGAGCACAGGAGAAACCATGAGATACGGGGATCAACTGCTTTCAGACCAGCTTTTAAGCTTCCCTATGCATAAATCGAGGGCAGCAGACAAAAGGGATGCAGAAAAATCTGACAGTGATTCAGAGGACCCCACTCAGAAAAATTATTACGAGGGATTACTACTAGACAAATGCAATGGCGAGGAACCTTTACTAACAAATCCCAACCAGGAATGGGGCTATTTTGAATCTTTCATTAGCGAAAGTAAAATTGAGCTGCTTGACCTTTGCTCCAAAAATGAGCTTTCTGTAAATCTATTTTCGGAGGAGGATGTGGATAATTACATGTTTGATGATGACGATTCAACCTTAGGAAGCGACGTCTGCTCCTTAAAGATTAGATACGAATCTTTCCAGGACAACGTGCGGGAGAAGACCACCGCCCTGCAAGAGGACGCCCAGTTCAACTTCTTCCCCAGCGTGTTCGGCAACTGCACTAAGAGGGACAGCAGGAGCAGCCTGAAAAGGGGGCCGGGGAGTGCCACGGACCCTCCTCAGTTCAAGTCTGAAGAAGGCATCATCTGGGGGGAGGAGGAGGAGGACGGGGAGGAAGAGGAGGGCGAGGAGGAGGAGAAAGCTGCCTTAAATAAATCGTGCAACAGTGCGGAGATGGTGCAGTACGTGGGCTCCAAGCGGAGCCACTTCTTGGACTCGGTGAATTCCACGGAGGACTCTGGGGAGTTCAGTGACGACAGCACCTGCACCGAGTCCTCCTTCGACGTGCTACGGGATATCAAGGACTGCAGCCGCTACCTGTCCAGGGAACACTCCACTTCCTTCATCCAGCAGAACTACGGCTTGCGGGCCAAGAGGAAAGTGCGATACAGCGACGACTACCTGTACGACGTGGACTCCATCGAGAACGAGAAGATCCTGGATAAGAAGGAGTGGCTCCCGGACGGGCCCAAAGAAGAAGACGACGACGAGTGGTGCCCGAAGAAAAGGCGAAAAGTCTCTCGCAAGGAGCCCCCCGTTATCATCAAGTACATCATCATTAACAGGTTTAAGGGAGAGAAGCATATGCTGGTGAAGCTGAGCAAGGTGGATGCCAATGAGACGACCGTCACCCTGAACGAGGAGCTGCTCAGCAAGTATGAGAAGCTGGCCCCGCTGAAGGGCTTCTGGCAGGAGAGGCAGCAGAGCCGCATGGATTTGCTTCGATCATCTCTCTACCACAAGCAGAATTTCTATCTTAACGGCTCAGATGCTTCGTTCCTCCCTCACCCACGGAAGCGAAAATGCAAGCTAGCAAACAGGCACCGGATTCAGAGGATTAAAGCCATCGAGCAGTCGGTGAGCAAGCTGGGCTCCTGCTCCGTGGATGCCAAGCAGCCCTGCAGCAGCAAGGAGGACRCGGGCCTGAAAGGGCTGCAGGCGCTGGCCATCGCCGCCCCCGGCTGCGCCAACGGGCTGCACGTGAGCGACATCCCCGGCCTGGCCTCCGTGAAGTGCAAAGCGCAGGAGCGGGACTTGAAGGGGACGGAGAGGAAGGTGCTCCGCCGAATCAAATTCAAAAGCGAAGCCAGGTTGAAATGCAAGAAAATCAAAGGTGCTGCCAGCACGGCGGAGGGCTCCCCAGCGCTGGAAAGCCCGGACCCTGCAGCTCGTTTGAAGGACGAAGATGTTCCTTGTGCTGCAGACAGCTCCCACATTCCGGAGTGCCCCGAGGATAAGATGGCTAAAAACGCTGCTTTCCTCCCATCCACCTCCTCCTCAGACAAGCCTCTCCCATCTGCTAACATCGCCGGCAACGTTCCCCTGATCCCTGGAGGGTATCTGCAGACGTTGCTGGATGCTTCCGACTTGTCGAGCAACACGGGGATCTCGTACTTCAGCCAGCACCCCGCGGAGCAGGCTCCGGCGCTGCCGGGCCTGGCGCCGGCCGAGAAGCCCTTCGCGGCGCTGCAGCCGGCGCAGAGCTGCGTGCTCTCGCCGCCCTCCGAGTCGGAGCTGCAGCACTCGCCCGGCCACCTGGACGTGGAGCAGGGCGGCTTTGGTGGTGTGTGGCCGGCCGGCAAGGCGGCGGGCAGCAGCCCGCAGGACTTCCCTGGCGACATGCGGGAGGCCGCCGGGCTGCCCGGCGACTTCGGCGGCGCGGCCGGCGCGGACGCCCTCCCGGCCGCCGCCTACCCTCCCGTCAACCTGAACGGCGGCAAGTTGCTCTACCAAAAAAATTACATGCCGGATAACCAACAAGTGCAGTCTGATGATTCTTATCAGTCATGTCATTTCGCTAATGGCGAGGGGCGCTTTCATTTCCAGCGAGGCACGCTGAGCACGGATGATGGCAGGCTCATTAGTTTTGATTCAGTGGGTTCTTTGTCAGTTAGTTCGAGCAATTACAGTTCTTTAAGTTTAAAGTCATGCGAGAAGGACGGCGAGGATGATATTAACGACGACTTCTTGGCCCACTGCAGTCCCAAGCTAGTGATCCAGCAAAGCATAGATGAAATAACCCCCTTGAAGGAGTCCACGGACCTTCTGGACATCTCCAACTTCACTCCCGATAAGTTCCGTCAGTCCTCCCTGTCGGAGATGTCTCCTCCAGACACTCCCAACCTCTCCCCGCAGATAGCCGGCTCCGACGCCAAACCCCTGGGCACCCTGAAGGGCTTTCAGGAGAGCACCCAGGCCGTTCTCAACAGTTCTGAGAAGGTCAAGTGGAACTGTGGGGTCCTTCAGACCGAGGAGCAGGCAGATAATGGGTTTACTTTAAATAATCATCAGTTTCAGTTCCATATGTTCAACGATGAAGATTCTGTCAGCCTCCTCGAAAAAAGTCCATGCTTGTCAACATTTAATGAGCCATCTGGTCAAATTAGCACCAATAGCAAAGTGTCAAAATCTAAGAGGAAAAGTTCATCCAGCAAGAATGCGGGTAYAAACCAAAGCTCTTCCCAGAAAACCACTAGGAAAAAATCTCCCAAAACCAACAAAGGAACCGAYAAGCCGCAAGGCAAAAATTCCAGGCAGACCCCCAAAACAACCCGGAAAGGGAAAAACGCTGCAGGAGCCACCGGCGAAAAGGCCCAAGGAGTTGGCAGCAGGGCCGTCAATCAGCTGAGTAACGCGGCCTCCGCCACCAAGGGCCTCGCCGAGGGTGTTCAGCACTGCAACCCAAGCCCGCTGAAAATCGGGAAGCATAACGGCCTCTCCGGGGAATGGTCCCTGGGGAAGGACCCYGGCACCGGCTGGTCGGAGCCCAGCATAGGAAGCACCACCAGTCTCCTGGATGACGATCAGAGGGAGTTTGAGGAGCCCTCCAACATACTCTCCAACATTGCGTCAGGAATGGCAGACGTTCAGAGGTTCATGATGGCCTCCATCGAGCCCCTGTGGGGGCCCGTTGGCCACAACAGCGTGCCAGACATATTCCGGTCACCCGAGTCGAACAGCCTGAAATTGAAAACGCTAAAAATTTTGGCAGGGACGTCACAGGAGGCGAAGAAGAAGGCCAACAGYGGCTCTCCAGCAACGGCCAAGAGCCACAAGTCAAGCAAGGGCTCCAGCAAAAACAGCAAAGCCGCCACGTGCGACCCCGGCCGCCCCAACTGCTCGCCCGGGTACGGCACAGACATTCACTCTCCCTTTTTTGATAAAAACTATAGTAACCTGAGCACTTTAGGCAATAACGGACCTACCCATAAAAAACTGTACCGTCATAAATCAAGTTCTAAATCACTGAGGGATGAGAACTGTAAAATAAAGCGAACGGACCGTGAACAGACCCATAAGGACCCATCTGTGACAGCTTCTTTTGAAAAACTGAGGTAATGCTGCACCAAACTGGCTGGAATGCCCCTTTAACTTTCCTACTACCTGCTAAGCCCGCTGTTCCTCATTTTTTCCTTCCTGAAAGCAAAAGTTGCATGAAAAAAAAAAAAAAAGACATTCCCCTTTTACAGTTTCGGTTTTGGTTTTGGTTTTTGGGTTTTTTTGTTTTGTTTTGTTTTTTGTTTTTTGTTTTTTGATTTTTTTTTAATGCATGAATATACTTATTACTTGCAAGCTACCTAAAAGAATGACCAATTTTCTGGCTTGGCTGGGGTTAAAAAAACTAACAAGGCTACTCTTTTCTGCTGTTTGGCTTCTTCAGTTTTTAATTACTTATTTATTGGGGAAAAAAAAAAAMCAATTACACGCTCTTTTTAATGGTTTTGCAAAGGAAAGACTTTTTTTTGAACATTTTGTAAAAAATAAAACACAAAAAAGAGGTTATGCATCCAAAAGCCAAGATACCTAAACTAAAGGCTCTTTAGTTTGCAAAATGAGAAACTCATTCATAATTGAGCTTCACGCGGCAATTTTGAGCGCTTTCGGGCCCCCTCTGCTGTTTGTATCCTAACCTGCATCACAAAAGCTGCATCTGCTCTTAGCAGAGCTTAGAGTGTGTGATCCTGTCGTGGTGACTCCACCTGAGCTAACTAAGATGGCATAAAATGTTTGGTTTTTCTGCAGGGAATCAGACTCCATTCTTCTTAAGGCAGAAACAACATTTTTGGTTTTACCTGTATTTGAAGAAGAGACTCCCTTTTCTAGAAAGACGTTCGATGTTTGTTTTGCTCCTTTTTTTTCTTTTTTTTTTTCCTTTTTTTCCCCCTTTTTTTCCTTTTTTTTTCGTTTTTTCCGTCCGTCCGTTTGTTCCTTTCAAAATATGCCTTGTGCTATGTTGACATGTAAGTGCTGAGATGAAGAGTTTGAAATTGTGGGGTTTTATTCTTTGAAAGCGAACCTAATCTGGTATTCTCTGTGAAAGACTGTTGAAAAAAAAATCATACTGTTGTACAGTAGTTTATGCACTATTACCCACAGCAACAACAAAAAAAAATTGTGCCAAACTATGAACAAGTGACTGTATTGTATATATTTTTACTTCTCTATCGACATTGGGTTGTGAGTGTTTTCTGCAGCTATGCCTTTTGATTTTACTATCAACATTCCAGTTATTCCGTACTAACCACCCCTTTTGAAAGCACCTGTAACTCACAATGAAAACGATATTGCTCACTTCGACAACTTACCAAAAGTTTTATGGACATGACTAAAAGTGTGCCAAATTTACTTACCTCATTTCATGGATTCACCCTGTGGTTTAAAGCTCATAAAAAAAAAAGAAAAAAAAAAAAAAAGGAAAAACAAAACAGGAAAAAAACAGGAAAAAAAAAAAAAGGAACTTTGAAACTGGGAAATTGTAATGTCCTCTCTTTAAAATCATGAGCAGAAAAACATAACGGTGAAATTTTGAGTTTCATTATAGGAGAGAGTGGAAGTGTTGGAGGAATTCAGAAAATCCCTCAAGGTAAGTTGGACAGGAACTCAAGTGTCTGCATCTAGAGACTACGAAACAGCTGCTTTTCGAGTGTCTGTTTTCTTAAAGCAAAACCTGTAGCTGAAGATCATTTGAAATGCAAAGTTACATTGCTAATTCTTTGTATCTCAGTTTTATATATTTTATAATAACCTGGGATAAATTCTAAAATAGTTATAAAAAAAAAAAACGAAGCTGATGTTTCATACATTTATTGCTATTTACTTTTCTTTTAAGTCGTTTCTTTAAATATTTTTGATGCAGAGCCTGTCGAAAGCGCTCTCACGTCATAGCTTTGGTGTTTCCTAAATGTCTAACCTTGCGATGCCAATATAGTTTGAAATTTTGAGAGCAAAATCATTCGTTTTGAGTACAACTCTGAACCTTTACTTTAACTGAGTCCGTATTATAAGAAAAAAAAAAGAAAAAAAAAAAAAAAGGAACTATTTGTGATCTCACCAATCAGGGCCGGATCATACTTGGACTTTATTAAGACAGCATTAAGGATTGAATGCTAACTATTATCAAAAGGCCTTATTCGTAACCCTCCTCGCCGCACCCTCGCCCGCCGAGGAAATCACAGAAACAGAGAAAATCATGTTTTTTTCCTTGTGCAACGGAGAGCCTGGGCATTTTGCTGCTGATTTACTATGAAACCTGGATATGCAAGAGACCTGCTGGCAGGGAGCTGTCGGGAGCCGAGGGGTTTAGGCCGGCGCACACTTATGCAAGAGGGAATGGTGAGGAAGGGGAGCCTTAATACCAGTCCTATCGAACACCTTCTCACCATCGTCGGGAGCCCAGAGGCGGCTTTTGGCAGAGGACAGAGCTCAGCTTGGTTTGCGCGCGAGCAGGAGATGTTAGGGCAACCTCCGAAGCGGTTAAGACACTTGCTTTTATCTTAAATTAACAAAACAAGCAGGTGGTTCCTCACTGAACGTGTGGAGCTGCAAAATGGTGGTTTGGAGTCAGTGTTTTCAGCTCCCGCAGGCACTCGAGCCCTGGGGCCGAGCCCCGCACGCGCCCACCTTGCCGGCAGCACCGGCTCCCCGCGGGCGCCGTGCGGGGACGTGTGGGGCCTGCCGAGGCCCTCGGCTTCTTCCTGATGCCGAGCCGTGCCAGGCATCGCGCCCGTCCTGGCGCCATGTCCCCGCGCTGACCGTGGCCGCGCGGCGCGCCGGCCGCTAGCAATATTCATTGCGTTTGAGGAATGTGCAATAGGGCATGAATAGGAGGCGTAAAACGTATCGACTGCTTTATTACACGTGGAAAAACCCGTGAATGCTCAGCTGCCGGATGTTTCGGGTGGTGGTCATCACAAATACCAGCTGCCTTGGTGAGCTCTCCTTCAGCCCTACTGCTGCTCCCAGTTCTCTGCCGTCTTTGGCCGTTATCCCGCTGCCTCCCCCAAATCTYCGACCATGCTTTGCAAGAGCCCAGATCCCACTGGCCCTCCTCTGTGCCCAAAAATGTCATCCTTCTGCCAATTTGCTCCAAAACCGGCTACCAAAACAGTAATTTCTGAAATTGCCTTGAGCCAAACTTTCGTCGTCCTCCCTTTTAATTTTGATGGTCGCTTGTCTATCACTACCTCAAGAATTTCATTGCTTCCCGCCTTTGCCTCATTCTTGGCCATGCAGACATGGTTGTTCCCTGTGTATTTGGTTGACTTCCAGTCTTTCGTGGCTCTTAGTGCAGGCCGGGCCTGGTCAGTAGGGCCCATTCCTTCCTTGGCCGCCTTCGGCCATCTCATACCCTGAGATAGGCCGGGCTCCTGCGGCCCTTTCCCATCTCCAAACACATCGTCTTCTCCAACCTCCTCTCTCCTCCTTTAGTTGGGTTCTGGCTATGTGGGGAGAGGAATTGAAGCCACAAAAAGATGTCTCCTCTGCAAAAATCCCTTTTCCACAGTTCTGCGTGTGGAAGAGCCTGTAGGAACTGCCTAGTGTTCCTGTCCGTGTGCTGTGTGTTTCTGCTCTGGGGAGTTAGTGTCCAGGTAAAGCAGCAGCTTGGCCAAGCCACTGGCACTTGCATGTGGAAGTTTTACAAAGAGGGAAACACCAGAAATGGGGAATCCAAGCGAAAACTAAAAATGAGTCTTAATGAGGTTTACATTCTGGCTTTTTAATGTTTTTAAAGCATGAGGAATTTTTGGAAGACAAGTCACGRGTGATGAATTAGACCAGGCTCAGGCTGAGTTTGGCATAGGGGAAGCCAGCAGGGCTGGGGGCTTCACTTTCCATCAGAGCCGAGCTCTGCATGGCTTTTTCTCTTTTATTTARTTGGTTTGCTTGTTTTTATCGAGATTGCTGTTGATTTTTGGCATTACAGCTCAAATCAACCGAGAACCAAAAGAAACATGTTGGAAGCATTTTGATCTTTTGCCGGCTGGGCCACCTTCTTCTTTCTCTGAGGTCCCAATCTAGCAAAGCACTTGGGCAGCGCTCTGGGACCCTGAGGCTCCTGCCCACTCAAGTGCTTTCCTGGAGCGCCAGAATCAAGGGAGGAAAAGCAAAAAAACTCCATGGGAGTGAGGGTCAGGAGAAGAGGAGCAGGCACGAGGGCTCKTGTCCTCGCTCCTGCCTTCTCACCTCAGCGCGTTGGACTGCGTTGGTGCAGCTCCCGCGAGGCTGCGCGGCTCGAGCCGCTGACATCTATTTGAGAACGTGCCTCTTTAGCTCTTCAGCGTGCAAAATAATGCAAAAAAAAAAAAAAGAAAAAACACAATAATTAAAAAAAGAAAGCGAAGTACAACGTCTGTGGTAGAAGCAAGGCTTTTCAAATCCGTTTCTCAGGTAAACAAGTGACACTAATGACCGTGGAGTAACAGCCATGTAAGGGAACCTGGATGTAGAGCGAGGCGGGTGCCGCCACGCGGGCGGGAGGAGGCAGAACCACCATTGCGATCACCGCTGCCCTTCAGTAGATAGGGGGAAAAAAAACACACAAAAACCACAAAAACACGTTTCAAAAGCACAAAGGGAAGACTTTAAAAATAAAGCGAAACAAAACAAAAACAAAAACAAACCCAAGCGAGATACCAGTAAACTCCTTTTGTCTTTGACTCCCAGTGGGACGCAGGGTAGGAAGCTAAGGAGATGCTCTGTTTTCGTTGCCTGCAGCGCCGGCTGCGGCCCTCTCGACTGCTGCCTACAGAGATTTGAATGTACCGCTCCTTAAGTTAACTTCCAGAGGCACCTCCTTACTAAGTTGCTACTGGTTTATGGTGCTAAAGGAAACTTTTATCCCCCTTCGAGCATTTAAGGAATACAAAATGGCCCTTTTTATGAATGTAACATATCCAGTTCTGTTTAACATTTTACACTGCAATTTTAACATGTTTGGAAATGATTTGCCTTTTTTCTTTTAGAATAAGCTTTATAAATATTCTGTAGAGTCAATTGAAGTATAATTCTTAAGGATCACTCTAAGACGCCTACAAAATCTTGTATATTTTTAAGTGTGCCAATTTGTAAAATATTTTGTAAGTGTATATTTTTCTTAGAAAAGTGCTGTGAAGTGTTTGTATGTGTGA